TGTTTCATGTTGCTGTGTTCATTCGTGCTCATCTGCTCACACAGACTCATGTTCGTGCTGCTGTTAAGCATATTGTTTTTGTGCTAATAGTGCTTAGCATATTTTTAGTTAACTTTTTTAAGTTCATATCTTAGTACTGTTTTTCTTTTACATTTTATACTTTTGTTGGATGTAACTGGGACCCTGTGTACACAATTTCGTTCCACCACATGTACCACATGTGATGCGAATGACAATGAAGAACATTGAATCCTTGATGAACAGTGAACGCATATTCATATAAGTTTACAAAATGTGTTCTAAGTGTGTTTTTTGGGATGTTGAGGCACTCGGTGCAGGAGCACAATTAGATGCAAATGTTGGCTGATGTTGCTCTTTAACATCTGGGTTTGGACTGGAGCCTGGAGGATCCATTGGCCTTCTCTTCCAGCACACGTCCTGATTCATCTGACCACACACATACACACACAGATGTGCTCTCCTACACACACATGTGCGCACACACACACACAAACATACACTAGTGAGTCTGTCTGGAGGCAGCAGAGACAGCGAGGAGGTGTGGGAATGCTAAAAAGTTAGAGCAAATGTTGGGGTGGGGGTTGGGGGGGCTCAGAGGGAGGAGAGTTCGAAAGTAGCAACTATGGGGCAAAATGTGCCACATGCTACAGGAAGGAATGCTGTGTGTTCTTAAAAGCAAATGAAAAGAAGAAAGAAGGAGGAGGAAAGACACAGTAGGAGGGATCTCTGCAGAGGCTGCAGCGTGGCTGCTCGCCTAAATGAAAGAACCTCTCAGATCCTTTCCCTGCTGTCTGTCTGCATGTCTGTCTGCATGTACGGCTTATGAGGAGCCCATCCACAGCAAACACTGGGAGAGTCTCAAGGTGACTTCAGCCTGGAAGTAAATATTTTTCACAAACTCTGGATGAAGGTGGAACTTTTTATTTTCAAATGTCTTTTAAAGGTTTGTTCTTTTTTCTTTTTTTAACAATTCTGCCTTAATTTTTAGTTTTAATGTCTAAAAAAAAGATAATTTTTCTGATTCCTGTTATGGACAAACTTACAGTGAACCTTGACAGTAAATAACAACAGTTTCTCTGGATTCCTGCTGTGATCCACAGGTGATTCTACAAGGGAGCTGGACTGAAGTGAACTGGACTTTTGTCCTCTGATGAAGAGAATTCACTGCATCTGAGTCAGTTTTATCTGAGCACACAGAGAGTCACGTGTGTGGGCGGATGATGTAACCCATCCTGAGCACTCTGAAGGTCTCTGGTCAGCTTGCAGGCAGGTGTGATGCTGGGCGAGTATGTTGAACACAAACATCCACACTTGAAGGTACAGCCAGTGTTGTGCAACTTCAAATGCTAGAAGAATTACTTCGAAAATCAGTTTACACAGGTTTTCTTGGAAAGATGGCGTTCATATTTTATCGTTTGAGATTTGGAACAAGGCATAAAGTTTAAAATAAAGTTTATTTTATTTTATGTATTTATGTACAAAAACACAACCCAAATTGTATTAAAAATGTTTTTGTACATATAATCAGCTTTTAAAATGGTAGAAAATGGTAGAAAAATGGTAGAACTGTTTTTTTTTTTTCTGGTTTGTTAATAAGCATTTTTATGATGTCATCACATCACATTTGTGCTTCGTTTTACATTTGCTTGCTTCCCTCATAAACTACTGATAGTTCAGATCTTTTGAATTACAGCTCTGTGGAAATATGAACAATTGCTATCTTACCTGCTGTAGACTGATATTTGTACAACCTCATTTTAGAGAAACAAAAGTTTAAATTAGAGCAGATGAATGAGCTAATGGCTAAACAAGCCGAGACCAAAGTGGAATGTTACCGCTTTAAAATAACCAAAAATTATTTTTAATAATAATTTTTATTATTTTTCTCAAAAATTTCGAAGAGGTCTGTGCAAATGCTACTTTAAACGTCCATGCTGTTTTTGGTTTTGTATTACAGTGTTATTAAGTCATAAATATACTGCACAAAGAAAGCTTTAGATTTTCTGCTGCTGTTTTCGTTCACAAAATTTAAAATTTTTGTAATTAACTGCTTAATGCAAAGTTGATAATAAAGGTTTATTAGCAGTGTCTGCACGAACTGCAATAAAATCTATGTTGTGGGGGTTTGTTTTAAGAAGGCATACAAACTTACTTTGGTCCCGACCTGGATCAAAATAGCCACTATAGTTTCTAAGTATGGTCAGGTCCAAGATTTTACACTAGCTAAAAGCTAAATGTAACAAACAATAGCTAAAATTATATAGCATAAGGGGACACAAATGAGTAAGTATGCTGAAGAACATTTTAAAAAGAATACCCTGACGCATGCTCAATAATCCAGGTAGAAAAATCTTAACAAAATTAAGTCAGGTCCTCTAGATGGAATAAAAAATTACTGCTGAAATGTTTTATCTTTTATCCAAAATAATTTGTCAGTCTGTGGAGTTGCACTAAACTCAGTTTTATAAATAGCACCTTCTTATAGTGGATCAACCAGTTTGTTGTTGACAGCCAAAACTAGCTGTTCACATGATAAGGGAGGACCATCAGCCTAACGATCGATAGTTGATGCCCTGATAGCCGCTTGCTATTAACAGAGAGCTGAGTGATACTAATAATAACAGCATAACTGTTATCTTTGTATAGTATAGTAATACATTGTATGTATATGTGTTGTTAATAACTAGTAATCACCTTCTTACAATGCTATTATTGCTAGTATCATTCAGCCCTCTGTGAATAGCAAGAGGCTATCAGGGTACTAATGATCAGTCGTTAGGCTGAAGGTGCTATTTATAAAACTGAGTTTGGTGCAACTCCTCAGACTGACAAAGCCTTTTGGATAAAAGACAAAACATTTCAACAGTTTTTTTTTAATCCATCCAGAGGATCTGACTTTATTTTGTTGGATTTTAAAGAAAACAATGTTTTTATAGGAACTGAACAGACATTTCTATAGGGAAAACATAAATGAACTAAAACATTTTTAGTACGTTTCAAAGTTACAAAAATCAAAAGTCATAGTAAACATCTTCTGAATGAGCACAATGTTTTGATATCCAAATGGCTAAAACAGCACAAAGTTCGCAGAAGTTATTAGATTTTTAGAAAGCTCAGAAGAATAAAACCATGAAAAGTGTGAAAGATGAATCACACAATTAAGTCAAATAAACCAAAACAGTAAATTTAAATGTAAATGTTGTGAATGTTATGTTTGTGTTTTGTAGATCCTGCTGGAGAATTGGGAAATTTTCCCCTCAAGTTGCTTTTTCTTTATTCTTGGTCTGAGGGCTCGAAGAGCCTGAAGCCAGAGACAGTACATTTACACCATGACTCTACAGACCAGAGTTCATTACATCTCGTGGCCCATTCTTTTCTCTAAACTTCTTCCACTAGTCCTGTTGTTGCTCTTCCAGGCCAGATGGGGGTGCTGTCACCCCCAGTGTTTGGATTACAAGCCTCCCTTTGGGCCTCAGCAGCCACTGGTCTTTTGTAAAGAATACACCAAGTTTGGCTGCTGTGATCTGAACAAGGATGAAGAAATATCAAGCAGGTTTTACACCATCATGGACAACTTTGACCATTTGGGTTTCACAACATGTGGGAAATACATCCGCAGCATCCTCTGTCAGGTAAGATAATGACTGCTCTTTGCCACTTTCTTGTCATTGGCAAGAACTTGTGACTGTTTAGGGACTCTTTTGTATCACATTTGGTCATTTACCATTCGTAGATTTTGAGTTTTTCTTTTTTATATAAAAAACATATTTGAGAAACGATAGAAATTATGAAAATTCAAAGAGCTCTGATCACCATAGGTTCCCTGCAGCACATCACATTCAGTAAAAAAAAAAAAATGCCATAGTTTTATGCATATTTTAGTTTACAAATGTTGCAACAATTAGTTTTGATGTCCAGTCTATCACAAAATGATAGTTTTTCAAACAACACATTTGTTTGAAAAAATATATGATGGTATTTTAGCCCTTGTCAGTAATTGTGTGTGTGCCTATATGTGTGTCTTTGTTAGCAAAATATCTCTTGAATCAATGGGCAGATTTTCATTAAACTCTCACAAGGTAATACTAAGAGGTAAAAGTACAACAATTTACCTTTTGAGGTAAACACAAATCAGTACAGCGGCCACAACTTATTGAGCTTCATAAACACAAAAATCACTCAGTCTGTTAAAGCTACCGTATTTTTCGGCCTATAATATGCGTTTTCTTATTTTGGGCAAAATTTGCATGCCCTGCGACTTATACGCTGAAGCGACGTATTTATGGATTTTTTTTTCCATATTTATAAACTATTTTTGGCTGAGATATCAGAGTCAGAGTCAGAGTTTCTTTATTGTCATTCGCACCTCATGTGGTACATGTGGTGGAGCGAAATTATGTACACAGGGTCCCAGTTACATCCAACAATAC